GACCACCCCTGTGGTGAGAGGGAGGCCTGGGCGGGCCTCTTCCCACTGCCGGCGTCCCGAAGTGAGAGCAGCAGAGCCAAGGTCCAACCTGCTGGGCAGGGAGGGAATTCCTGCTCTTGCGCAGTTTCAACTCGCCAGTAAGGGTTTGTTTTCAAAGTAGCTGTTCTCAGTGGAGAGCAAGGATGTGCTAGACACAGGTGTGGAAGTAAGTAATGCCATACGATCGTAGAATGGTTTGGGTTAAAGATCATCCAGTTCCACCCCTCCTACATGGGCAGGGACACCTCCCACTAGACCAGGTTGCTCAAAGCCCCATCCACCCTCCCCTTGAACACTTCCAGAGAGGGAGTATCCACAGCTTCTCTGGACAACCTTGTCTCACCACCCTCATAGAAAAGAATTTCTTTCTGCAGTCTAACCTAAATCCACCTTCTTCCAGTTTAATGCCATTACCTGTTGTCCTCTCACTACATGCCCTCGTGAAAAGTCCCTCCACAGCTTTCTTAAATGCATACTAAATATCTAAGCTGCCTCAGAATTTACTGGACTTCGTATACTGTATGATAAAATCTCACTTAGATTTCTGCAATGACAGAATAGACATCTTCCCATCATGCAGGCAAGTACTGAAAATGTCAGGAAGATTCATACCCTAGGCTACAAACATTAAACAGTGAACCATCTTGAAAATCATACAGAACTGGCCTCTACTTTTGAACGTAGAAAGTACCAAGTCTTGACCTTAGCTGAGAAAGGCTGGTGAATCTCTTTCACCCAGACTGTATTGTACTCGTATTTAAATGTCACTTATTTCTTCCTTCTTTCAGCAGTACGTGCTGGATCTTTTTGACCTGTTTTCACTTAGGGCAGCTGAATGGACTTGTTTTCTCTGCTGTCAGAATGCTAAGTTGGTGCAGCAGTACCTCAGTGGCAGGACCAGAGCTTCCCTGAGGAAGTGAGCTGGCTCTCTGTGAGGGTCTTTGCAAAAAAAACAGGCTCAAGTCTCCCCAGAGACTGTCCTCAAAGGCTAAACTTCTTTCTCTGGAAAGAAAAAACAGTTTTGTTTAATATCTTGCACTGACTTGTGAGATTATTGTAAAATAAATAGAAGTTCCAAAGAGATTTTGGCATGCTTACTTCTGATTTATCACCATGCTACCCTATCCTTGAATGTATAATTCCAGCTCATACATGCCTACCACTGTCCACATGTAATAATAAATCTCAGCAGCTGAAGTAAGTTAAGTTTCATCTCCAAGTTAATTTCTGAGTATTGAAGCTAGCGTCCTCACAGACTGCTGTGCTGTCCTGTGTGACTGTCTGCTCTAAGTGCTGCTAAGAGGAGGATTTTAGGTTTGCATTCTTATTGTTTAGCTGGAATGTTGTGAAGCCATAAATTGCCACATCTTTTATCTTTTTCTGCTTGAGTCGATTGGCTTCTGATAGCAGGTTTGAAGCAAAGTGACGGATGCCAATGCAGAGTTTAACTTGCTTGCAGGGATTAACCAGTTTGTGCTAATTTAAGTAACTTTATTTGTTAAGAAGTAGTTTATAGGCTAGGTGATTAGAATCATAGAATATACTGAGTTGGAAGGGACCCATCAAGATCATTGAGTCCAACTCGTGTCCCTGTGTAGGGCACCCCTAGAATCACACACCATGTGCCTGAGAGCATCATCCAGATGCTTCTTGAACTCAGTCAGGCTTGGTGCAGTGACTTCCCTGGGGATCTTGTTCCAGTGCTCAGACACCCTGTTGGTGAAAAACCTTTTCCTGACGTCTTACTTAAACCTCCCCTGATTCAGCTTCCTGCCATAAGGACTTATGCTGTCACTGATACAAAATAGTTTTAAGCCATTTAATAGAACTTATTGTTACTGGTTAATCTATTTTGGAACGATGGAAATCTTGTTGATGTCTTCAGGTGGGCTGCTGCTTTCAGATTCCTGGGTGCCATTTACAAATCATAACGCCTGAACAGTTGTACATTGCTTGTTCTTAATTAACATCAACTCTTTGCTGTGGTAAAGTATGTAGTTTTTTTCTCATTTAGAAATCATGGTTGCTTTTGGTTTTCAGATGTGTTCTAAAAGAACTGGAATCACTGGGGAAAGCACTGTATGGAGCAAAATTAATTGCCCAAAGATTTCAAATTCGAGTCTGTTCTCACCACAAGGATCCTGTGAGTGGCTCAGCCTGTTTACTTTCCATGATTGAAGAAGGCAACCCTCACCACTTCTTTATTGCTACACAGGTACCTGCACACGTGAAGTGTAACTCCGTTTAATTTGGAGCAATCCTTTGATAACTAAGCATAAGGATACCTGCAGAAACCTCAATTAGGAGATTTTTAAAATAGCTTCTGGGAATTAATCTTGTAATGCCTTACTCGCTTTTATATGTATTGGCTAATTATAAAGTAGGGAATCTGTTGTCCTACTTCAGCAACGAGTTATTTTTGACTCTGGAATGATATTGCTTGGTTTAGCAGAAAGTGTAGAAAACATACCGACTACCTATTGACATGTAAGAAAACAACTGAGGAATGTTATTTGCATATTGCTTGTGTGTGCATCCCCTGCCCTGAACTGTTTGCACAGTAGTCTGAAAAGCTAAATTAAGTGTTAAATGGCCATATAACTTCAATTTTAAGATACCTTGGAGGTTTTGTCTAAGGAATAAAGGTAAAACTTGTGGTAACGCAGTTTTTAGGTCTGTTACTGGAACTGTATGTGTAAATTGTATACATTATATATATAAAATGGATTACAGTAAAATTTTGTATACATATGTAAGATTCAAGGAATTTAAAATTGCTTGCTATAAAATAAATTATCTTCTTGTGTATTACATACCAATGAACTGGGAATTTTTCTGCAGAAAATGCATGTGCATTAAAAAAAGGAAACATTAATACATTTTCCATCAGAAGTTCAGCTATCAGGAGAGAAACTTTAAATTGGTCTGAAAGGCACTGCCAGGTATATATGCTAGATGAAGCTTCTTATTTTTCATAATGTAATTTATCTTCATAGTTTTGTATTTAAAGTAGGTGCATTTGAATTGCAAATATCATTTAATCTCAAAATATTGACTGAAGTATTTAATTTTACAGGACCAGGATTTAGCAAACAAAGTGAAAAAGAAGGCTGGTGTTCCTCTCCTCTTTATTATTCAGAACACTATGGTGCTAGACAAACCTTCACCTAAATCTTTGGCATTTGTTCAAAAGTTGCAGACAAGTCAGCTTGTTCCGGAACACCAAAAACAAAGTATTGTGCAGCTTAAAGAAAAAGAAGGACTAGCAAAGCAAGAAGGTGAAAGGAGAAGAAAACGCAAAAGGGCAGGTGGCCCAAATCCTCTCAGCTGTCTGAAGAAGAAAAAGAAGAAATCAGAGGAGGGTCAGGAGCCTTCTGCTGTAAAGAAGAAAAGAAGAAAAAGAAAGAGAAATAGAGTTAAAGCAGAAGCTGTGCAGTCAGTGCAGAGGAATGAAGAAGAATAAGCTTGTTTTGGTAAGCATTTCAGGACTTAAACATTGTTTGACCTTTGCAGGAAGAAAGATTAATATACAATCATGTGAAATCAAGTTGTTAATATTAAAACTTATTTTTATGAGGTGGTACTCTTTATTACTCTATCTCAAAATTTTCATGTTACTGTCCTAATAATTTTTTCTGTTGTTTAGTCATTGGGTTTGGGACAAAATATTTAGTAGCCCTTGTGTTCCATTATTCTCTCCAACATCTTGGTTTGTGCCTGAGGGTTCATATGTTTGGTAGCAGTTTTTTAGAAATGCTTCTTGGGTTTCATGTGGATTTTGGTGGAATACTTAACTTTCTAAATCTAGGTTCCTATTTGGACTAAAACTAGTTTTCACTGTTGTTCTGATACAGAACATGAAATTTACCTTAAAGAGCATAGTATCTTATTTATCTGTTTTGTTTGAAAAAGTTAACTCTTTTGTAAAGTGGATGCTCTTCCAGCCTCAATAACTTTGAAAGCTCCATGTGAATTAATACATCTATTGTTCATGATCGTTACTGATGAAGAAGATCTTGGAGGGTGTCTGATTGTGTTGATACTTCTGACATTATAATGGCACCTCTACTGTGTCTAGTTTATTCTTCCTTTTTGAACAGGAGGAATGCAACTTGAAAATGCTGAATCAAAGCACTGGGTGGCACCTACTGCCATCCCAGCATGGCACATCTGTGGAGGAGTCCTGAAATTCAGCCAGCTGAGGGGGATGGCACTTGGACCCTCTTGCATGTTTCACTGTTCTAGATGAACAGACTAGAACTGGGTTGAAGGGAGGGAGCTGCCAAAAATGGCTCAAGTACTTGTTTTTCTTCAGTAGCAATTTCCTGTGCTGTGCCCAGTCATCTCTTACAGATTTTTAACTTTTCTTGGTGCATTTCTACTTAACTGAGATGTAATTCTTAAAAGGAAAGCTGTCTTTTTCTTCACCTACATGAGTTTAAGCCATGTTTTTTAAACAATCCAACCTATGGATCGTACGCTTGCAAAACAGTTCTCATATGTGCGTTACCTGTGCAGGTTCTTGAATGTCTGGTACCTACACAGCTGTAATGGATGGTGCTTTCTGTTGGCTTTTCAAATTGAAAGGACAATTCTCTCACGGACTTTGAGAAACCAGCTCAAGATGGGAGCTGGTCAGTCTGCAGAAACTGCAGGTGGTTTCCTAGAATCTGCGGAGATGTCCCCTGGCCAGCGCAGGGGAGGCAGGTCAGGGTGCTGGGTGCCTGCAGCAATGCAGTGCTGCTGTAGCCCCAGTATGCCATTCCTCACAGCTCTGCTTTTAGGAGGGCTCCATGTCTTTCGTGTTCCATGTGAGAGACCACATGCTTCTTGGGAACTGACTGTGAGAGATGGAAGCAGAGAGGAAGGCTGCTACACTCTAGGTGAACGCTTTAATTAAAAATTAAAAAGAGTCACACTCACTCATTGTGGTATTGCTCCTACATTCATTACTGTTAGCAAGTCATAGAATCATAGAGTGGTTTGGCTTGGAAGGAACCCTGAAGATCATCTAGTTCCAAAGCCCCTGCCTTGGCAGGGACACCTGTTAGACCAGGTTGCTCAAAGTCACATCCAACCTGGCCTTGAACACTTCCAGGGAGGGAGCATCCACAACTCTGAGCAGCCTGTTCCGGTGCAATATTAATTATCACATAAGGTATAAATAGAGGCTACAGTTTCTACAGTCCCTTGCCCCAAGCTGGAGCAACACAGAATACAGTGGCAATTTACTGAGTTTACGCTATACACTATAGTATAAAAAATTTAAAAAATAAATTGTAAGTCACAACATAATCTGTTTAAATATCTTCCAAACTGAGTCTTGAGGAGAATTTTATTAACTCCTAGAAACTCCTTAATGTGGCATATTTCTTTTATGTGTATCACCTTTCTAAAGATGTTATATTCCTCTCTCCGTCACTTATTTGTGCACAGTGCCATATGAATGTAGTTTTGCTTCCCCCTTCCCAAACCCACCTGCAGAAGGTATTCCTATAAGTAAAGCTGGGAGCAGACAGCAGAAATAGTTCATCTTCAAACTCTGGTTCCAAGTCAAAACTATATTAAAGCCCAGTAACTTTGCTGTAAGTATTGTTTTTAAAAATTGAACAGAAAACACATCCTAGTTGCTTACAACAGTCCCTTTCAGTGCAGTTGAAACACAAAGCTTAAATACACCTCTTTTGAAGGCTACAAACAGAAAAAAACATAATTATTGCAAAAAAAAACCAACTAATGACTCGCACCTTAAGGAATTCAGAACAATATTTATCTGTTTCCTTTGTATTTGTTAACACAAACTGAGTCACAGTGTTGCCATTTGGAAGAACTGGAATGAAAAAGAATTGAGCTCTTCAGAGAAAAGCTGTAAAACTTGCCTGCAGCATAGCTGCAGCTCTTCTCCAGCAAGGTAGGTAACTTCCTTTTCAGTTTTGAGAGCTCCTGCCCAGGCAACAAGCAGATACAAACGGTCCACATGTGGTTGCCATTTTGAAATTTGAAAAAAATATCCCAGCCTGGTTTCCAAGAAAAACAAGTCTGCCAGGCCCAAGCTGGCGGCTGAATTTGTGTCATTAACCAGTAAAGCAAAGAGCAGCCTGTGACACTGGGCTGGGCTGGCAGTGCTGGCTCTGCCCAGGCTGTGGCCCTTGCCACACACACTGGTGTGGCAGCCTGTGGATGGCCCCATGAGGATGCTCTGGCTGTGCTGCCTTCACCTGCCAGGATTTGGAGGTTTAGGTGCTAGAGATTATACTGGGGTCACTCTTAATAATTCAGGAACAGGAGTGGTTGGTATTGTCCTGAGTGGCTGGGTAAACGCTGTGGAAGTGCCTGTAGAGCTAACTCTGCTGGGTAGGTGTTTGTCTCTACATTGTGCCCAAAGCCACAGTGGCCAGTCTCATTCCCTTATTTACCAATAAATGGTCTGGATATCTGGCTACATCTTCAGTATAGGCAGGGTTACCATTGTGGCTTTTCTAATAAAGTTTAGGACGGTTTTGCTGTAGTGTGTTGGAGGGACTGGTTTTGGTTTTGAATCTATAGAAAGGCAGAGTTAAATTAAAAGGAGCTTGAGAAAAACTTATTTGGGGCTTTTGATTTCCTCTCTTCTCAGACAGGATAAATACATACCCTGAATCCTAGGTGGTATCTCACTATTTTATTTTTTTTTTCTTTTAAAAAAGATAGAAATAGCTGTAGTCATACCATACAATGTATGCTACACGTGCAGAGCAATAGAAGAAGAAAACAATAATGCTTCAGCTCAATCTGCAGGCCATTAATGCTGAATTTAGGACAGAGTCTCATCTACCAGCAGCAGAAGGTATTTACCCAGATTGCCTGCCAGTTCAATTGGCTGGATTTATATGTTGGTGGGATCTGGTATTGTATAATAAATCACTCCCTGAGCATCTGTTAACGACACTAAATAGATGGGTTAATTAGAAGCTTCTGGAACCTGAGATGTTTATGAATCATTAAAGTAAATATGAATATGGTATGACTTGAAGAATAAATACATTCAGGTGGTGAAAGGAAAATAGGATGTCCAGAGCAGTCCTGCTCATTTTTCAGCTACACTGATACGGTGTGAATGACTTTTCCATCAGCTTTAGAGCATTCCTGGAGTTTCTTGAACATGTTCTGTCAGATACAAGATGAAGAACATCGAAGTAATGCCATTATTTATACTCATTGCATCTTTCATATAGAAGTCTCACAAACAGCTACTGTATATTTCGTACCTCTGTGTGGGAGTAATATCTCACACAGGGAGCAGCCAGAGATACGGAGAATGAACAAATAAGAGCCCCAGCAGGTGTTACCAGTTAAAATTTCAGGGAGAAAAATTGCAGTGTACTGAGAGAGAATGACAGAAAGCAAAAGTTTACATACCCAGAGAGTCAGAACTGAAAGACAGACTGCATCTTGTGATTTAGAAATGGCCTAACTAATGGCAGGAGAGGAGCTTGTGATGTATTTCTGGTAATTATTACGTCTGTGCACTCTGAGCCCCAAATTTGTCTCTGAGAGCCCAGCTGTCTGCCCATGGAAGCTGTCATTTTGCGAAAGTTGCTTTGGCTTGTTGCAGAAGAGACAGGCTGAGCTCTCTCGAGGGGACATTATTTTCTGATTTCTTCTGCTGTGGTTGAGAGGGAGAACATGCAGCTGTGCTCTGTGGTTGGATCCAGGGAAACAACGAAGCTGTTAGCAAGGGTGCAATCGAAAAACAACTGAGAGCTGTGAGTGGGAAGGAAGAGAAGAGACAGTAGATTAGTCACTGGGATTTAAAAGAAACCAAGGAGAAGAGAAAAATATATGTGAGGGTTTCTGGGTGTTAACTGGAGGAAAGAATTCATCAGTAGTGAAATGGCTTAGCAGTCAAGGAGAGTAGGGAACAGTGTAATAAACTATAAACAAACAACAATAATTAAAAAATCTTTCTAATTCCCTTAAGAAAATTTTATCACCCTTTCTGACTCAGTTTCTGCCTTTTGAAAAGAGGGAGCAGGACTGACTAACCCACTCACAAATCCTGTGCTGTTAGCCTGAGAATTCCTGCAGAATGGAGGTCTCCTGGTGCCAAACACTCCTTGTCTTCATGGTTTTCCAATATTACACACTTTGCAGCACTGTCAGGTTTGCAGCCAAATCCCTCTTCTGTAGAGCTCGCCTGACACTGTGCATGGCTTGCTGCCCAGCACACAGATATTACATCCAGGAGCAACGTTATTTGTGCCATTATTGATAGGGTGAATCCATGTAGTTAATTGCTCCTGGGGGTACTCGCAGCAATGGCTGGGGATAGACTGGGGCTCTTCTGGCTGTGGAAATCATGACTCAGACCATGGTATGTTGGGTTTTTTAGGTCTAATACCCTTGCACAAGCTCAGTAGGGGACTTGTGAGTTTCTTGTTGCAGTCTTGACTTCTAGTTGATCCAGAATGGGGTTTTTTTGCCATGTTGTTTCCTCTGGGACCAAGGATGCTACTGATTTGACTCTTCGGGGCAGTTACTCTTTCAGACTGTCTTGGAGAAACACTGAGGAAATTTTTCACTTTGTGAATTGGCA